ATACACCCCCCCCCCCCCCAAAAAAAAAACTCCTTCGTATAATAAGTCACATAAAACAAAACCACATTTACGCTATCAAACATATCAATCTCCGACTGTGAAAGCAATATTTTTTTCGATTCTTTCATGTTGCTCATGCCCTTAAGTGTCTCTTAACAATATTAAATTTTTTTATCAATAAACAATACAGTCAGTTAATAATATGTACCTCTGTTATATTACAGTCTTCTTTCTGTTATATTAAATGTCTGCCTTCTGCTATATTAAATATGTCTACATACTGTTATATTAACGTTGTCTGTCTTCTGTTATATTAACGATGTTTATTTTCTGCTATATTAACTATGTCTACCTTCTATTATATTAACCAGGTCTACCTTTTGTTATATTAAAAAAGATCTACCTTCTATTATATTAAAGACGTCTGCCTTCTCTTATATAAACAATATCTGCCTTCTGTTATATTAACGATGTATGCCCTCTATTATTTTAACGACGTCTGTCTTCTCTTAACGATGTCTGTCTTCTGTACTATGCACGTTTTCATAAACTGCAACCCCTTCCATTCTGATGCACACGTTCTTTCCTATCCTATTGATGTAGCTCTCCCGTCATACAACTACTCTTTTTTTTATTTTAAATTTTTTAATTTTTTTTTTATGTCATACAACTACCCCATACACGATATCTACTTCAGTCACGTTCCTCATACCTTTAATCTGCCTTCATTCTTTTTCAATATCTATACATCGTCAATATTGTATTCTTCTTATTTATGCATTTATACATCTTTTTTTTAGTTTATAAATTGATTAATCAAAGTGTGCGATTTTTTATCTCCATATATCTACTATTATTAAATTTAAATAAGCCAAAAATCAATGTTGATATCTGATAACATTTTTTTTTTACCGTTGTAGCAAAGCAGTTCGGTCTTTGGCTGTTCTTTAAAATTGCAACACCGTTTTCTTTGTAGTTTGAAGTTGTTTTACATATTAACAGACAACATAGATAACCAGCTTATCAAATGTGACAAAACTGCCCAGTATTAAAAAAATAAATAAATAACGAGATCTTATGCCTTTTCTGCTACAAGGCAACGTTAACAATAAATGCGTTTATTTATTTCCTGAAACCGGAAAGCATTGATGTAACACGATATGCTATAGTGCTATACATGTGTGTTGTATAATACATCTATTATGAAACGGAATTTTGTGAGGTTGCATTAAAAGAAGGATATTCGGAAGTACATGAAACATGTTTTGTAAATGTTTTTCCAAGAAATGTAAGTTGGATTGACTTTTAAAAAAAAAGTTAAATGAGATTTTTATTATCTGAAGGATTTTTTTTAAAAGCCGTATTTCATTTGTTTTTTTACCTAAAGTTATGTTTTAAAATTCAGCGCTTAAATTAATAAACATAAAAATAATTATTATTTCAGTTAATAAATAAAACGTAACATCTAATTTGGAGATTTTCATCAACATTTTACAGTTAAATTATTTAATTAACGATTGAATATATTTTGTTTAAATATGTAAATAATTTTTAAAAAGCGGAAATAAGCTCCCCATTACTTTCTGGTAAAAAAGTAATGTTTTGGAAGTCACTTCTAGTGAAATAGCACTATAGAACTTGTAGGCTAGTTTGTGAGAAAAAACCTTTTAACTTTGTTAAAAATAGGTTCACGAATCTCTTTCAATTACAGGTAATGCAAAACTAGAAATAATCTAAATGTAACATCTCATACTTGTACATGAAATCTCATCCACCAAACTGAAGTAGTTTTCAATTTGTTGAGCACATGGAAGTAGAATAATATACCATTTCCGTTTAACGGAACTCTCTTAAAAGTTGAAAGAAGCCTGCGAATACGATCTCATACAGATATGTTAAATGTCGTCCACCTAGCTGAAACGGTACTGTAGTTATAGTTTTTCGCAAACCAGAAATATAGTTAGTAACACTTCCGGTTATCGAAAATTGACGAAAATTTGAAAAATAAAAACAACTGAAGAATTGCATCAAAATTTTATTGATTAAACTTTGTACATCTAATTAAAACATACTCAAGTTGTCGTGAGCGCACAGACGACAGACTTGTTTTTTCCCGGATTCATGTAGGTATAAAACGTAGAAATTTATCGAATGCTAGGAGAGACAACTTCAAAATCAAACAACAGCTGCCTTGTAGTTTGTTCTTGGCTGGACAAAGGCTATGGAAGTGAAATCCAAAAAGAAAAGCAGGTTGAAATCGGAGTCAATGGCCTCAATGGCGCATAACCAGTTGACACGTATACTTGTGTTGAAGGGGATCAATTCCAACACTAATGTTAAAAACTAAGAAGAAGAAGAAGAAAGAGCGAATTCTCAATTTTTCTTTTTGCACCCTTTCAATATTTTCTCCTGTAGGCCTACTCTGAATACGATATTATATACATACACATATATATATATATATATATATATATATATATATATATATATATATATATATATATATATATATATATATTTATATATATATATTAATTTTATTATTGTTCGCTATTTAAAAGTACATTTTAGTATTGTTCAATATTTAAAATTTAGAATTTTTGTATTGTTCGATAATTAATTACATTTTTTAAATTTCCAGCTGTCATTGCAGTTGTTACTACTGTTCTAGTCTTTTGTGGGGTGCTACAGTTTCAGGTTCTCTCAGTAAGGCTCACCCGGCATCGCTTTTCTTCAAAAGGTAATTAGAACATCTTCATGATTATATTTTAAAAGAAAGAAATCAGTTAATAAAACTTGACATAATTTTTGAAAACACGCTTTCTTCGTTTAGGGGAGGTTAAACACGGTAAGAAGTGGAGATATTAGATGTGTTAAGCTGGTATGTAAAGTCGAATTCTGGGATGAATTAGAAACACGTTGAACCCGGTCCTCGTTGGACAAAGCGTAAAAATATGTATCTTGTAATAGCTGCTAGCCTGTTTTTGTACCGGCGGTACGCCATTCCGCGCCGCTTCTAAACATTTACTTGTCACGTTGTAAAATAACTAACATTTTTAAAAATATGATACTACTGATCCAATCCATGATTTTTTGTACAGCAATGGAGCCAATTTAGTTTTCTATAAGCAAGAATTCATGAAAATTACTGTTACTATTAAGTTTCCAGACAGAAGTGTATTTTTTCCAGAAAAATCAACCACTTTATTCTTATTCAAAACTAAGTAAATAAATGAGTTTCTTCAATAAACAAATAATTTCTTAAAATTAAAATCAGTGTGTATGGAATTTAATTACGATTAATTTTTATCGAAATGAGTGGGTTTTTAATCGAAGGGTAAAATAATATGCTTCGTTTTGCGGCAGAGGTACTGAAAAAAACTGAGTGGAAAAAAATTCCGATAAACGTAAAAATAATTCCAGACTAAAAGAAACAGCTGCTAGCGTATTTTTGTAATTTCTCTTAGCTGTTTATAAATGTTAGTTCGTGATAAATACGAGTATTTCGATAGTTCAGAAATCAGAGTATTAAAACACTAATCAGAGTAAAACAATAAAAACACATTTGAGTTAACATTTCGGGCCTGATTTTTCATTGGGTAGCTGAAATATAGTTCGTCTGTTTTTGTGACCCGGGCCTAACAAGAGATAATGTAGTGAGTACTGTGTCTTGCCCCAACGTTACTTTCCATACCTTGAGTCAGGTACTAATCAGAGCTGGGTGAACTCAGCGATATCCTTAAAAACCTAACCTGTTTATTTTTACTTAACAGTGGTCAACTGGATGCTGTATGATTCGACGATCAGAGATTTGATTGGACGACTTCATCACATGATCACACGGGATACCGACGCGCCTCTACGTTTGTTTTCAGCGGTCTGCAGCAACGAAACAGAAAGTACACACAAGACATTTTTTTTCAAAGCTTGTGAACTATTTTGACTCAACTATGTTATTATTTATATATAACACTTACATTGTTTCTTCCAGACTTTTTTCTCCGGGGGGGGGGGGCACTTGAAATATTTTTTTTTTGGGGGGGGGGGGGGCGGTAGACTTTCTTTGGGGGGGGGGGGTGGCGGACACTGTTAACAGTATATATCTATCTATATACTACTAAAACTCAAGTTTGTTTACATGCAGTGGCCTAGCGAGGTCGGGTTTCGACCAGTGCGGCACTTAATGGTGTCAACCCCCCCCCCCCCCAGAGGCTTAGCGACCATCCCGGGGACAAACTTTCAAATTTTTTATTTGTATTCCCCCCAAACTTTCAATTTGCACCCACCCCTCAAGTTTTTCTCCATATATTTTGCTCTTTTTTGCCTCGGTGTCACCCCCCCTAAATGGTATCACCCGGTGCGGTCCGCACCCCCCTCGCTACGCCTCTGTTTACATGTTTGAATATTTATTTTTTTGTTTGTCTGATTGACTACTGTAGAGGATCTGCGCTATGTGGAGAGCTGTAAAATAATATGTAGATAGAGAACAGATTTTGTTTTCAGACAGACTGTTAATCACACATTTTTTTAAAGAACATAATTAATTTATTGATTTATTCATTGGTAGATTAACCACATTAATTTTAATTTTTTCAAACAATGGCTTAATAGTGAAGTCACATGATTTGTTTACTTTTTGGTACAATAAAATGGCGGCTTCCATCTTAGACTTTGTGGCCCATTCCAATGTTTAACGCGTTCTAAAGCTAATATTCTGTCGGCTATAGCTTTAATGAGACATCCGTTTGCTGTTTTTTATTACGTTCCAACACTTATATCAATTTTCAACTGTTATTTTTATTTAGTTTTACAATAAATTTCTCTAGATCTACTATCTGTCCAAGAAAGTTATTTATAGATCTAGATCTAGAATCTAGGTCAAACCAAAGATTTATTAGTTAAAATACAATCCAAAAAAAAAACAAACAAACTAGACTTAAGCAAACCAGTAGTAGATCTAGAATATAGATAATTCTATCCCTATCTAGATTTAAATCTAGATAATAATGAGTTTCTATATACTAAACTATTTTAGACCATTATTATTTTATATAATTCTTTGTTTAGCTATGGAATATGCTAATTTGGAAATGCTCGATCCAGGGCCTATTTGCGTAACTTAAGATTCATACGCGGCTTCTATACCGCTAATTTTGCAAAATTATAAACGTAAATTCTAGATCTAGCTCAGTCGTAGATCTAGAATATAGATAATTCTATCTAGATTTAGATAATAATGAGTTTCTATATACTAAACTATTTTAGACCTTTATTATTTTATATAAATCTTTGTTTGTTTAGCTATGGAGCATGCTAATTTGGAAATGCTCGATCTAGGGCCTATTTGTGTAACTTAAGATTCATACGCGGCTTCTATATAGAGTTCTTTCATATGACGTCACGTCCGTTCGTGATACCTACGCCCGCCGCCACAGTGGTGTACACAAGACGTAAACACAATCAGCTGTTCGCCAGCGCTGGACGTGTTCACCAGCGCTGGACGTGTTCACCGTATGTAAAGAACCGCACCCGCGGAAAAGGAAAAATACGTTAAAAAACTTGAACTCTTAGGAATTGAAGATCCTTATACTGTTATTGACAGTTTCGTATAAATAAATATGTGGACAAAATTTCTAAATAAAAATACTGTTAGTAATACTGTTTGCGTTTAGAGTTAAAGTAGCCGAATCTGATCAAATGCAGTTCTCGATACTTTGTTTCATGTAAGGACAGTAAAATAATAAACTTCATTTTAATTATAAAAGATAACTATTAATAAAACAAATATGCTCGACCTTCACAAATACTAATAGTAAAAGACAAAGTCAAAAGTAATAGGCTAATAAGAATAATAAGATCTAATAGTAGGCCTAATACCTGGCTCCGCTGGGTAGACATAGAATCTAGAATCTACTTCTTTACTTAAATTTAATTACTTTAGATCTACATTCGATTCAAAATACACCCATAATAAATCAAAAGTAGTCATAATAGGCCTAATAAAGCATTTAATTGTCTCTAAGATCTAAAATCTCGCTCTATTATCTAATCATTTTTTTAGCAAACGAAATTTTCTGAAATTGAAATAGATTAGGCCTATATGACTAGACTTAGATCTAGAATCTGCTACTTAAATTAAATTGTAAAAACTTTATACAAGCATGTAGTTGATATTATTGTACTAGAAGGCTTTAATAAATTACTAAGGCCGACCTACTTTGTTGTCTTTTTACAGCAATATGTATCTGATACTGGACTGAGTTTAATTAAATTCAAATTCATATCTAGTAATTGGTCTACTAAGTTTTTGTAGCCTAGTAGTACAATCTAGATCATACCAGCCAACAACAAATAACCACATTATTATTATTTGGTTAATGATTAGGCTAAATTTTTTTTTAAATCCACTGTTTATAAAAGAAACAAATCAAGCTAGAAACATTATAAGTGAGATGGTTTAGAATAATAACAATGGACCCAGTCTACAATTGATACAATTGCAGGTCTACATAGGGCCTACAGTCTAGTAGTTTACAGTAGGCACCTAGTGTGTAGCTAGTATACTAGTGTGTAGCTGTCCAGAGTTAAGATTCTTAATGCCTTAATGCTTTCCCCTGATAAGCCGTGTATGCTATAAATGACATAACATGACACCGAGGTGAGAAGTGTTGAGGGGAGAGCAGTGGGACTTTCCCCTTTGTTCTCCCTGCTGGGCCCTGAGGGTCAAAATTATATAAGAAATACTATCTCTGTGGGGCTGGGTATCACGGAGGTGAGACATTTTCAGGGGAGGGCAGGGCAGACTCCTCTTTGGTTTTATTGTGGGCTAGATACAGGTGGGGGCAGCCATTATGAGAGTTGAACGTCAGTATTAATGTGTCTGATTACTTCCCTGCTGGATTATAAGGGTCTTAAATTGTATAACATGCTATCCAGATTGGTTATTACCCATGGATTATATTAGCCGTTGTAGTGTGGGTTTTGTAGGAGTTAAGTGGTCTCACGTTTGCTACAGTAGATAACCTCTTACTGCATTTGATCAGCTTCGTCTACTTAAACTCTAAACGCAAACGGTATTACTAACAGTATTTTTATTTAGAAATTTCGGCCACATATTTATATTATCCACGAAACTGTCAATAACTGTATAAGGATCTTCAATTCCTAAGAGTTCAAGTTTTTAAACATATTTTTCCGCGGGCGCGATTCTTTACATACGGTGAACACGTCCCCAGCGCTGGTGAACACGTCCAGCGCTGGCGAACAGCTGATTGTGTTTACGTCTGATGTACACCACTGTGGCGGCGGGCGTAGGTATCACGTGATTTAGGTCACGTGTTTGCAAGGACTCTATTGCTAATTTTGAAAAATTATAGACTTTAAATTCTAGATCTAGCTCTATCTAAACTATTTCAGACCTTAATATTTTACTTTATATAAATCTTTGTTTGTTTAGATATACAATTGGTTAATTTAAGATAAAATTTAATTTGAAATAATTCTAGATCTAATTCTAGGGCCGATTCGCGTAGATTCTTACGCAGACTAAAAGTAAAAATGTATGAGTTATTACATTCTCCAGAGCACGAGTCTAGATAGCTAAGAGGTTAGCACATTAGGTTACCATGCGGGTGGCACTGGTTCGAGACATGTCAATTTTAATTTTCTTTTTTTAATTTTAGTTGTTGTTGTGAATGATAAAGTTGCCTTTGCCTATTGGAACTTAGAGGGATACAGGGCAGGTGAAGTAGAGTTCACCCGTTTCTATGTTCTCAGCATATGAAGGGATAATGTGGTCAGAGCCATGCTCGGCCGGAATCGTTTTTTTTTAAAATACAAACATGTCTGAGACTTGGCGGGACAAAGGGAAGGTGAAGTAGAGTTTAGTAGAGATTTTGGTTAGGTTACGTTTGGTTAAGTTGTATGTATATGTATGTTTATATAATGCTATCCAAAGATGCTTGCATATCAAACTGTACACGACCTTTGAACCCTGACCCCGAGGCCCGTTTGCTGGACATTCTGACGTCACCAAACCTGACGCTGTCCGAACACCAGCGTCGTCTGATCCTCTCCATGGGCCAGGCCATCCCTGAGAGTGACGTCATCTTCGTGTCCGCCAGCTCCTCCAATCACTACGACGAGATGCAGGACATGTTCTATAGCCTGCACAAGACGGTGTATCCTCGTGTCAACAATTTCACCGTTGTTCTCTTCGACATTGGTTTAACAGAGGAGCAGAGGATCATGGTGAGTCGTTGGGGCTTTGTATGTGTGTATGAGTCAAGGTTCAAATCCACCATACCTGTGTTTTTTTACCATTTCATTAAATATTAGTTTGACTTTGACAAAATATGTTTTAGAAACTGCGCATCGCCATTAGATATTCAATAAAATAGATAACTATTATTATTCGAGAAAAATGGCCCGTTGAGGAAACATGTCTACCGTCCCATTCAACGAAATATAATTATATACTTTTTCCAGTGTCCGCCCCCTCCCATAAAATTCTACCCCCGTCCCTGAGAATTTCCAGTACCCCCACCCCTCTCCGGGGAGTAAAAAGTCTGAAAGAAACACTGGTCGCATTTGTAGATCATACAAACAAAAGGAAAAACCTGGGCGGGGCTTCGCCCCTACCGGAAGAGATGCATAAAAAAAACTGTGCACGCTTAACACTTTTTAGATTAGAAAAAGTTCCTCCCTCCGGGGAGGAAAAAGTCTGAAAGAAACACTGGTGTTGCGCTTAGCCTCTACCCGAAGAATTGAATGAAAGAAACTCTGCACGCAAACCACTTTTTAGATTAGACACATGAATTAGGCGGTAATTTTATTATAGAGTATCGATGAAGAAATTTCTTTTGAGTTGGGGAGGGGGGGGGGCAGACGCTCTTACGCGGGGGTGGGGCTTCGCCCCGACCCGAAGAATTGTATGAAAGAAACTCTTCACGCAAACCATTTAGATTAGACAAAATTGCCTTTTTATTCAATGTTTACTCGAGAGTCAATGACGTAATATTACCGTGTGCACTCTCCGGCTTGAGATTATTTTTTACTACATGCTAAATGTGACGTCATTTTTCTTTTCCGTATTACTGTGAAAGTTTTTAAGTTGCTTGTGTTTTCTCTAGAGCGTTCTTGTCAGATACATACATAGATACAGATAGATACAAAGACAGCGAAAGACAGCGAAACTATTATATAGAATAGAACCAATTTACTTGGAGTAAAGCAGATACTGAAGTCTTTTTCCCGTTCATGGCCATGACACACAGGGAAGACGACGTTTCAATTACTTCGGCATTTTAAAAGATACAGCGCTGGGTGACCTGAATTCAGATTCAAACTCGAGACTTTCGGGTTAGCAGTCTATCACTCTACCGCTAGACCTCGCCATCTCTGAAATTGTGTATGGAGAGTAGTTTCGTCTAGTTTTCATACAGAGGAAATATAAATATAAAATAAAACAAGTGGGTATATCACCCCACAGAGGTGCACGTCCACCGTCCCCTTCCCTAACCAAATAGAAAAAAAAAGAAATATAGAAATATATATACACTGCCCCACCACACCCCCTATGTCATACCTTTTTGTTTTTGAAAAACTGATACATATTAAGTCGGTTGATGACATGAGTTTTTTTTTGTTGGTAGGATTAATACATGACTGTTCTATGAATGTTGATCACGTGTGTTTTGTTTTGAAAGATTGACACATGACTGTTCTATGAATGTTGCTCACGTGAGTTTTGTTTTAAAAGATTGGCACACGGCTGTTCTATGTATGTTGATCACGTGATTATTATTATTTCACCCAGACAGAAAAACACTGCCGGTGTCAAGTTGTGACTTTTCCCTTTGAACATTTTCCAGCGCACGTCAAGGAAAATTTTTGTTACGCTTGGAAACCTTTGCTGGTTCGGGTAGGTTACATCCCTAGATTGTCACTGAAGTAAATCTCGACATTAGAGAACATTATATTGTAAATGGCTGTACGGTGAGTGGGGTAGAGTGGTCGAGTGTTAGAGATCACGACTACAAACCAAGGGACCGAAGCTTAAGTCCTTGAAATGAAGTCACAACAACTGGTCCTTCTACCAATGATATTTTGATGTATGTCACCCCCACCCCCATTAACACTCACACTTTTTAAAAACACATATTTAATGCTTACTTCTATGCTGCTTATTCGAGATCGTAAAATACGTATCCTTGTATTTTTCAGCCAACTTTTGCTAATATCAACATTATTACCTTCTCCCTTTTTAACCCAAGACACATGGGGCCGCTATAGAAAACTCCCTTCCACTTTTGTCGGTCTCTGACAATTTTCCTGGCAGTCCCCCATGACAGTCCAGCCTCTGTCAGCTGCTTCCCCGTTGTCTACCTCCACGTCTCCCTTGGTCTTCTTTGCTTTCTTCTCCCTAGAGGTGTCCAGTTTAGCACCACCTGCTAATATGTGTTACTATAAATAAAAAAAACTAAACAAATTACCGTATTCACGTGTGTCTCTTCATGTCAGGCTACTATAGAAAAGGCAAGAAAACTTCTTGTTTACCAAGACACTTCCGTCAGATGGTCTGACCGCATCCAACAGGTTCTCGACAGGGCTTGGGACATTGGCATCCAATACTTCCGGTCAGATGGCATGGCTAGGATACCCCTGCATACCCTGATACAGGTGAGGTTAGGTGGGCTACTTGCTTACACTTACATTGTCTGAAAAAATAGTATTCTTTAGACCTAGGGATCAATTGGGCAGATGAAGTAGTGTTCATATGTTTCTTGAGCTCAACATATGAAGGGATATTGGGTCAGCACTATGACCAGCCTTTACTTGCCCTAACATGAGAGCTGGGAGGACTCAAGGACGTTCTACTGACTTTGACCCGGATTCAAACTTGAGACGTTCGGGTTAGCATACTAGCCTTTTACCGCACAGTTGAATATACTTATATTGACTACACGCTATTATACCGGAGTGATTTACTGAAGCTTGTACTGCAAGGTTTGATGATAGGATTATGGTCCGGTAAAGGGCCTGTGATTGACATTAAGGTTTGGTGTTGGGTTAGGGTTAGATTTCAGATCAGAGTTGAGAACAGATAATGCTAAGAAACTATACTTTTATTATAGGGCTGGTAAGTAGGTCACCAACCAGTTCTACGGCTCAATAAAACCTGCATGAGCTATAGAACTACTTGGTGACCTACTTACCAGCCCTATAGCCATGCTAGAACTCTGAATACTACATAGAAGCAAATTAGACACAAGACACGCAAGGGGGTGGGGGTGGGCGTTGAGTCGAGTGACAGACACTCTGTGTTACGCCTTCCAAGACGGTGACATCAAATAAATATAAAAAAAACGTCAATATAAAAAACCCTGCTCTTTGAATATAATTTAATAACTTAATAAATTTGTATACGTCTGTAAGCTCAAACGACATAAAGTTTAAGCATTTAGTATATATCTATATACTAGCATTCTTAAAATGATTTTTGTTTAATGATCAGACCTTCGACTACTTTGGAGAGGAGCCTTGTGCCTTCAACATATTCCCAGAGTTACCCGGAGGCCTCTCCATGTACAGGAAGGACGTCTTCAACATCCGGGCTATTCTGGAACCTTGGGCCAGGTGTGCCATCGAGCCGGAGTGCGTGTGTCCGGTCAATCCCTTCAAGGTCATCTGGTGTCACGGTGAGCACAAGGACCACAGATGTCATAGGTTAGTAGACGTCATGTTTACGGCTTAAGTTCTTAATTAAATGTCATTTATTTAATGTCTTGCTTAAAATCGTGATGTAGGGTTTGGTTGGTGAAGCGGTACAAGGTGTCAATAAATAATATATATATATATATATATATATATATATATATATATATATATATATATATATATATATATATATATATATATATATTCAACTCTCTTTCTCGCTCTACTTATTTCTCTATCTGTGTATTTACATATTTAGTCTTCATCAGTATATATTTGTATCATATTTGTATCAGCAAATAGTATATATATATATATATATATATATATATATATATATATATATATATATATATATGAATTATTTAATAAGTATACACACACACACACACACATATATATATATATATATATATATATATATATATATATATATATATATATATATATATATATATATAAAAGTATATCGTTATTTTATCATTTTGAATCTCATATTTCAGGTTCGATCAGTCAGCAATAGGAATGATAACTGCCAAAATATTTGGTCCTGATTTATACCGAGTGCTTGCCCCTGAGCGTCATCAATTTGTCGGTGTTTACCGTGGGTCGAAGAGGCCAAACTATTTTAACTCAACACAAAGTTAAACACCTTTTATTTTATACCTATTAGTGTTTTTATATTATGTATGGTGAAGAACTTAAAAACCAGAAACCACTTTTGTAATTAAAAAGAAATTATTCGACTATGTGTTTAATGAATCTGTATTTATAAATTATTTTTCTTTAGAACTAAAATTGTGTTAAACTTGGTGTAAGCATAAAAACCTTTTTAAACTTAAAAAAATAGTTAGCGTTATAACTCATACGTATGGATAGTTTCAGTCTTGTTCCAGAGCCTAGTAATTTTAATTTCGAAGTTTTCGTAAAAAAAAAAAAAAAAAGTGAAAACGTGAAATAAAGTCTTAAAGAGCATTGTAAGTTACCTGTTGTAGATAATAATAAATTATTTTACATAGAAGAGCCTTTTTTTAAAAAAATGTCACGTTAAAAGCTATAAAAATTATATTTTAGAAATAATGTATAAGACAGGTAACGAATTAAAATAAATAAATAAATCCCTAAAAACTACCCTTCTACTTATATCAATATATCAAACGTGGCGCAAGTTTTAAGTTATAAATTTATGTAGTATGTCTACAGCTCATTGCCTAGAATCCCCCCTCCCCACATGTTGATGAGGTAGGATCCAATGAACAATTATATTTAAGTATCAAGTGGTAGCAGCACTGTTTCTTGAGTTCATATTTAGCGCATGCTTTTTCAAATAAACACAAAATTTAGCTTTTTAATAAAAGGTCTAATTTTAAAAGTTTAATAATTTTCTAAAATAAAAACTTTTATAATTGCAAGCTTTTATAGCCTATTTGATCTAAAATAGAACCCCCCCCCACCCAATATTTTATTTTTAATGTATAGCAATGAATCACTCCTTTTTTTGACATTATAGGATTATCGTAAGCCACTATTTGTGTTTAAATTATATATTTACTAGCTAGAGGGGGAATTTTCTTTTCTAGCGAACAACGCTTTTTACTATGGAAAAGCTTTTTTAACAATGAATACAGCTTGGAATATTAAATATTTTGTGAGATTTTTTTTATTACAGCAACTGTTAAATATGTAAAGTGACAAGATTTGTAACAAAATGGATGTTAAATAAAGCACATGGTGTGTTATTTCTATTGGTTGTCTTAGGTGCGTTTGTTGTGTTGTTATATCAGCTGAATTAGTGGTGAGGTTGTGTTGTATGTGTAGGTGGCAGTGGCAGTGGCGGTGGTGTTGGTGGTATAGTTGGTGGTGGTGGAGTTGGTGTTGGTGTTGGTGGTGGTGATAGTGGTGATGATGGTTGTGTTGGTGGTGGTCTCGGTGTTGGTGGCGTTGGTGTTGGTGGAGTTGGTGGCAGTGATGGTAGTGATGTTGGTGGTTGCAGTGGTGTTGATAGTGATATTGGTAGTGGTGGTGATGATTGTGTCATACAATGTTGGACCTGGTAGATATTGCGTCTGAAAAAAAAAAGATAATTTAAATTCCAGTGTATTCAATAGGGCTCGTAAGTAGGTCACCAACCAGTTCTACGGCTAAATAAAACCTGCATGCGCCATAGAACTATTTCTTGACCTACTTTCGAGCCCTATAACAGTAGCAATAGTAGGCACGGAGGCCTTTTTTTCACATTGACCGTTTTAAAATTAACAAATGAAACAACCGATTAAGCTTTAAACTGACAAAATAAAAATGGCCTTATTTAAACAGAATCTTGGGTCTCAGAAAATCCCGAGTTCAGCCCCCCCCCCACCCGGGTAGATGAGGCTAGAAAGCTGGGGACAGCAACCCATCTAGGAGAGAAAACACCAAACGCAAAGGAATTTTTCCGGTGGACAGTTGTTTTAATTGTGTTGGTGGCTATTTCCTTTCATATTCCAATTAAGAACCAAGAAGAAAAACTTATATACTAACGTATAGTTTGTTATTTTCGCCTATTATTTCAACACCGGTCTTTGCCGTCACGCTTTCTTCACTTTCCTTTGCATTTGTGTACATGCATCTAAATTTTTCTTGCATTTTAAAGTTAAAATTTCGCTCGCCCGACTAGTCGTATATAAAAAAAAACATAGCCAGATAGAACAAGTATATCCAACTACCACGAAACAAAGGATAATTCAATGATAAAAACGTCACTTTCTTTAGGGAAAGAAAGAAAGAAAAGACGAAATACAAGCAGAGTTTCCACCAGGTATCTCTTCGATGAGGGCTCCGCCCCCCCCCCCACCCAGAAAAAAGTCTACCCTCCTCCCTCGAACGAAATGGAATTTATATACAAAAGCTGAGGGGGGGGGGGAGGAAGGACTACCCAATTTTTTCTTTCACTTCTGTCCTTCCAATTTGGGCGAATCGTATTTTTCTTATTTATAAAATTTGAAGTGTGGAAAACTTGAGCAGGACATCCCCCCCCCCCCTTCTCTATATTACGCCCGAACATTCCCCCGACATTACACAAGGAGCAATTATTCTTCCTCCCTCGTCAATTACCCCCGCCCAGTTAGGGATAATTTAGGGATAATATGTGAAGAGCTAGATAAGGGTTAGTGTAAAAGCTATGGCTAGGCGTAGGGTTAGGGATAGATTTAGGGTTAGTTGTAGGTTTAAAGTTGGGGTTAGGATTTTGTTGTGGTTAGGTTAGTCGTTGGGGTTTGGATTTAGGGTGGGGTAATGTCGGAGGGGAAATGTCGGTGTGTGTAAGGGGAGGGAGGATATTGACTGGGCGGGGGGAGGGGGGTAAGTCATTGGCAAGGAAAAAATAAATATGCAATAGAAAATATGCGAGGTAAAAACAGTATATATTGTCGTACTGTAAGAAAAATAGGGACGTTGCTGATACGACCAAGTTAATCTTTTAAGGGATGGAAACTAAATTAGAATTACCTGAAATGTTTAATTGTTATAATTGTGTTAACAGTACCATGGAAATAGCATAATTAAAAAAATATGAACATGGTATTTAAACCGGAATAAGAAAGCGCCTACAGAAAACTCAAAATATTTAAGAGCTGCACACTCTTAAAGCTGTTACATTGATCGGTGTTTTGAAATAGGCTAACAAACTATCAACTTTCCAAAACACAAAATTGACACACACACACACATAACAGCTGAGATATAGATTTACATACAAATTAATAAGCAACGTAAGAGAAATCTTATAATTGTGGAGGACACCTCGATAAGGAAGACATCATTACTTTGGATGACGGAAAACATTGATTAGAAAAGTGGCGAGGAAGATGAAGAGTGCACATCAATCCTAGGGGCGACTGATATGAGCTGACAAGTATTGGAGAGATACAAATTTATTGCAGCCCAACGCGCTGAAGACCCTTGAAAGAAAACAATAAATGACACTACTCTCGCCCCCTTCCTATGACGAATCACACAAAAAATTTGACCTCTATATAAGGCCAGTTATTGATCTCATGGGATAAAAACAATCGATTACCACCCTCATCCTCTCATCCTCCTTTCTGACCTGTGTAGCTGAATGTCCCTTTACACGATTACATTTCAAAACCTACAACCAAATACTTACGGGTAGATGTTTGTAATTAATTTTAGTAATTACTGTGTATGATTTTCGTTCCCTAAAACTTTACTTGACGCCAATTTAATTATCCTTAAGATGCGTAAATCATTTTTATATTTAAACTGTAGTTTGTAGCAGGCGCTATATTGTTTTCGCCAGTCTTTTATGTTCTGTGTTTGGAACATTCTCTGTTATGTAATGTTATCTTATGTTACAAAGTTGGATTATAAGGTTGTCAGAATAAAGTCACACAAAGGATACACAATAGCAAATAATCAGAAACATGTATTGTGCACATTAGAATACGACATGGGTATTTCGTCGACTGGTTGATTTTATAATAAAACAAGCTAGAGGAAACAAGCTGGAATCCAACGGACCAGAGTTTCTTCCAGGCATCTCTACGCCCCCCCCCCCCTCCCGAAAAATTTCTAATGCCCCTCCCCCCCCCCTGAACGAAATAAAATGTATATAATTTATATAGAAAATATATACTTTTAACATTGTCCGCCCCCCCCCCCGAACGAAGTCTACCCCCCCCCCCCCGAAAATTTCAATTGCCCCCCCCCCCCGGAGAAAAAGTCTGGAAGAAACACTGCAACGCACACAACATTTGCGAAGTCTTGGATTTCACAGATGTCCTCTGTCTTCAACCACATAGTCAAAAACAAATTCAGAACAAACTAGACTTCCCGTTGTTCTTGAATAAGCGTGTGTTTCGGGGGGTCATCCATAAAGGACGTCACGTTTGTTTGACGATTTTTATCTTTCCCCTTCCCACTGTCACACATCCTCAAAAAAAAAAAAAAAAAACTAAACCCCACATTTAAAAGACGTCACACCTCAGGCAACATTAGAATGTCTTTTAAAAAAACCGATTTCGGCTGAGCATGGGTCTGACCACACTATCCTTTAATTATGCCGAGGACACAGAAACAAGTGAACTCTACTTCACCTGCCTCGTGTCCCGCCAAGTCCCGATAGGCAACTTTATCATTCATATCTAAAAAATATAATTTTTTTTTTTACATTTACATGAAGCGCCTCAAACCCCGAACCACCCGCATCGTAGCTATTACACTATCATCATAGCTAGCTGGGTACTTCCGATTAGGCGAATAGGCCCTATTATTTCAAATTATATTATATCACAAATTAGTCGAGTCGGTAAAGCTCATGGTTGCCAAACCGAAAAGTCTCGAGTTTGAACCCTCGGGCAGATGAGGCTCGTTAGCTGGGGACAGCCACTCTTCTAGGAGAGACAACTCCAAAATTAAACAGCTGCTGCCTTCTAGTTTGTTCTTGGTTGGACAAAAGGCTATGGAAGCAAATCCAAAAAGAAAAGCAGGCTGAAATCAGAGTCAATGGCCTCAACGAGGCATAACCAGTTGACACGTAATCCTTAATTGTGAAGGAAGCATGGTCGAGTCGGCAAAGCTCATGGTTGATAAATTCGAAAAAAAGTCTCGAGTTCAAGCCCTCTGGCAGATAAGGCTCGATCCCCCCAACACTAAAAATTAAGAACGAAGAAGAAGAAGAAGAAGAGCCAATTCCATAACTAAACAATCAAAGATTTATATAAAATAATTAAGGTTTGAAATAGTTTGGTGTTGAAACTCATTATTGGCATAGATTCTAGAC